AAATTGCTTTAAATGAAAGTTTTACTATTAAATGGTTTTCTCTTAGTCACAACACTACCATCGACTATCCAATAAGACACAGAAAATGTAATTAAGTACTGTAAAACAAATTTAATTATCCATTGTTGTGGGTAATTAAAAATCTATTTGTACTTCGTTTGCCGGCTTAAGCCATGTAACATTATTTTGATGCTCCAATTGAGAGCGAGAAATGCAAACTTCTGGGCTAAAACTCACACTGTACGACTAGTTTCGCTAAACTACACATGAAATTTAGTTTGTTTAAAATTAGTGACAAAATTTCACAAATAGCTGATTTAATACTCAAATCGGGTAATTAACACAACAGAAAAGTGAAAAAAATGAAAGTGTTGAAAGCACGTAGTCGAATTGCTGACGTTGTACGAGTAAGCTATGATTTTAGTTACACGTACTTTAATCTCATAATCAAAACCGATATACTTTTTATTAAAAGGTATAAAAACACTATATTATTTAATAAGATTTAAAATTTTAATATATTTACATATGGATTGCTGTTGAAATATTAAATACTTAGACAAAATGAACCAGTTTCTAAAAGTTGGATCAAAAGTCAAATTAAACACTATTTTATTGAAATTTATACTGTTAACTTAAATACAAAAGCTGACCTGTACAATTCTGTTAATAGGTATATTGCAGAAAAGATTTAAAAAATTTATGACTCAATTTCAATTCAAATTCATGCATCATCATTCTGGGCTTAGAGTCTCTAAGCCCTGTTCCGTCCATAAAAAGTAGTATAGAACCTACTTTACAGAGTTTTATTGCCCCTTTCATAAACATATACATCCCCAAAAGTCTATTCCGTCTCTGAATCTTCATTTTCTTCGCAGAATGTACAATTTGCAACCGTATATATGCCCAGTCTTGTAAGTTAGTGTTTTAGTTTACAGTGTTCTGTTAAGATTCCTGCGATAATTCTAAGTTTTTATTTTGATAACTCCATATCTTCTGGTATCTCCTATTGTCTTAGGTACCAATAAGTGATTTGGATTTTTCTAATACTTACAGATTATCCCAGTATTCCTTTTTATTTTGGTTATTCTCATTTTTATAAGAGAAATATATATGATAACTTAGTGTGATAACTTGTCACTCTTATCAAATACGGGTAATATATAGAAACATTTGAATATGTCAAAAGAAATACAGTTTTTATGGCCATATGAATTGTATGTATGACAAAACCATAACTTAAAACGAAACCTTTTTTAGAGTACGGTTTTTTTAAAGCACCTGATGTGCATTTATTATTAAGGAACTTCTTAGTGACGAAAGCAAATTTAACAATAACAACTTTAAAAAAATGTAGAACTTTACTTATCTAAGTGTTTGTTACAACAGTATCGTATTCTAACCTATCTTTAATAAGCATCAAGAGTTAATAGATACAATATTTAACATATTTATAATATTTATTTAGCAGCACAGCAGCTAAAAATTTTCAATATCTTGATGTTAACATCACAACAGAAAACAATAAACCAAAGATATAGGTTAAAGAATACTATGTTAATATGTATAATATTATTTCGATTTATTTTGTAATTAAATTGATATTTAACGTCCGTTTTCACGAAAGAAACTAAATTCTTGATATAAACTATTGTTTTTAAAAGAGGTTTTTATGGAACAGTAGTGAATTGCAACAAAAAAATTTATTTCATTCTTGATTTTTGGAATTGGATTTTAAAGTATACTTAGTTTTATGTAGATACGAAAATATGTTTATCTTATATATAAGTTTAACTGAGATTGATGACAGGTACCATACTAGTAACTAGATAGGGTACCATACTAGTACTATATAGTCAAAAAGGACCATAACGCAAGTATTAGTTTTGGCAAATTGTTTTTTATTTCCTGTTGCTTAATACATCTTCACAGGCTACAATTACAAGAACATAGGCTTTCATGTCCTGCACTTCTATTTAAACAGAATGGGTCTGTTAGCGAAACCAGAATGTAGTCTCTGTATGTAAGAGTATCAGGCCACTCAGGTCACATTGTCTGTGACTGTCCGACTTTGATTGGGCATAGTTAAAAGAGTACTGGGTCATGTTTTTCGCCACGTCTGGGGTTAGGAAAACCTGTACAAGAGATGTTACAAATTCCAAGGGGCAAAGTACATTGCTGTTCGATCCAGTTTCGTTGTTTATCCAAAAGTTCAACCATGGTCGCACATATATCAAATATATTATTTATAATATTTAATTCAATTCAAAAAAGTGAGTTATGAAAATATTTCAAAACTAGTTCAATATATAAAACAAAAAAAAAAGCCACATAAATACACTAATTTATATGAAGATAGTGTCTCAAATACAAATATTATGTCACAAAAAATTGTAAAATTTTTTCTTTACTTATTGTTATAAAATAGTAATTTCCGATTTCCATGTATGTTTTATTCAAAAGTTCCCTTGTGCATATCAATAAGATAGTTACGTACAAAATTTAATAGAAAAAACTATAAAACTTGTCAGTTATAGATATATACGGGTGTACGGGATATAAATAAACAATATCATGTGTAATACTTCTTTGTGTAGATTGTTTTTAAATACATATTTCGTCTATCTATTTTTCTTTGAAATTTCCTTGTTTATTTTAAAAATATTTTTATTCATATTTTTCTTCTATCATGCAAAACAGAATCTTTATAAAATTTAATTACATTTTAATACATTTAATCATCCACATGTAATCTAATATTATTTTCAATTTCGTAATAAGTTTTCCATTATCTTGAACTGCACATATGCAGTTGTCTATTAGTTGCACAATTGATAAGAACCTTAGGCATGAGCAATACTGTAAGGGTGGATATATATGTACATTCGAAATATAGCTGTAGAATATAAGAAATTAAATGCTTATTTCTTAAAAATGCAAGAATTTAACTGCCAATACCATTTTTATACAAATAATTGAAACTAGTATAGCTAGATTCAAAAATAAAATATTACAATAAATTAAATTATTACAATAATCCGAAAATCACTGTTTTTCCACATAGATATTATGTTGATATTTCGATTAATTATAATAAACGAAATATATCAGTTTGTTCTATACATAAATTAATTAGGTCTGACACAAATCCATTAGATCTGCTAAATTATGTCATTGCATAGGTTTAATGCAATTATTGCAGCAACAATTGCATTGTCTTTGTCACTATTTATATTACAATAAACATTATTTATTACAATAGATGCTTCAGCTTAGATGTAAGAGTCTTATTAGGTCAGATTGATTATAAATATAAATAAACTTCAAATTGTGCAGTTTAGTACTTTTATTCAATTAGGATTTTTATACGTTAGATATATATATCTAATATATTATATATATATAATAATATATATATATAATAATATATGGTATATATATAATAATATATATATATAATAATATATATATATAATAATATATATATATAATAATATATATATATAATAATATATATATATAATAATATATATATATAATAATATATATATAACTGAAAATATCCTATCGAAGCATCCGACGCATATTCCAAATAAGCTCAAGGTGAACTGTTACAAGTTCTAAAAGATATAAGATCTTACACCAAAGCAACAAAAAGTGAGACTCGGAAGAGCTAAGAAGTTGTTACACTTGCACGAACGTGGAGAATTTTCAAACATTGTGTTCTCTGGCCATTATTACGAATAGCCACCCAAAGTAATTGCGTAGCTGTGACCGCCGATGGACGCTATCAAATCGTTTTCATCAAGCCTGATGTCAAAGTCAATGCAATTTATTATCGGGAAAATGTTTTGAAAGTCGCTTTAAAGCCTATATTTCAGTATGCAAATATTTCGATATAGGCCATGGACGTTCCAACAAGACTCGGCACCGGTCTTATAAAGCTCGTATGTACCAAGAATGATTAAAAATCATGTTACACACTTAATTTTGTTCACATAATGGTTATCGAATTCATCAGATGCAATTCCGATGGATATCATCTGGACCTTATTGAAGAGCAAGGAGAGGACTAAAATATATGTCAGTATGGACACGCTAAAGAAAGCCATGGGTAAAAACACCGGAAGATCACATTCGTAAAGTATGTAACTCATTTTTTAACCGAATGAAGGCCACAGTCAAGGCAAAAGGTGGCCAGATCGAGCTAAAGAGAATGGATTCTGAAATTTTGATTAGTTCGACAAATTTCCAAAATTTCACACAAAAAAATATTGTCACTTAAATAGATACTACTTCAATCGCGTAACCATGTCTATATGTATATATATTATTATTGTCCTGACCACCAACAAGTACTTAAGCTAAAATCCAATGTTTTTGATATTGCTACTAAGTTATGATATTCTGATATTCTGACACACTGCAGCAGCTGGCAAGCAATAATAAAGTGACACTGTGCTGGGTGCCTGGTCACACAGGAAGTATCAGTTCATAAAAATTACATTATTTTTTGACAGATCTAAGCTTTCTTTCTTGGTTTTCTGTACTCAATGAGAACAGATTCTTGTTGTAGTGTTTGGTATTACAAACATATATTAATATTAGATGCAGTTTTAAAAATAGTTTGATGTTCCAGTGCATCATCATAAAAAATGTTTTTTTTTCCTGTATGAGCTGTAACTTTTATCTGAAAAGTGGGATTGTAAATGAATTAAAGAAAATGTCTGTTCATGTATACTAAACATGGAACAGGCATCCTGCAGCTATAGTTCATAAGAGGTTTTAGTTGTCGTAAAATGTATTTAATAATTAGAAACTCTTAGCTTGAAAGAGGTCAATAGCGGTGACTTAAATTCTGGCTCTTTTATATTATTTTCTTGATATATATTTATTTTGCTTTATTCAGATGATTAAGAATATCTACTATAAATAATGAGTGAATTGATATAATGTAATATGCAGGATATATAAGTACGTGAAATAAATTTCAATTTTTATTAATTTATTTATAATTTTTTATTTGCGGTTTATTGCGAACTTTTTCGTTTCATCCATTTAATATAACAACTAAAGAACATTCGTTGCACTCAACAATCACTTCACAATCACTGCGTTTGTGGTTAAAAATTTCATTGTCCGCTGACTCATCCACAATATATTGACCGCCACAACGGCAATCATATGTATAGTATGTATCAGACGTAGATATTCCATTTTCGTCTACATCAACATCAACAACATCATCATCATTATCATTCGATTGATTAGTATTGGCAAGATTGATTGTATTATTACCGCTATGTTTTTCCATATCGGCTAATGTGAGTCTCTCGAAGACGTTGCTGTGCGTTTGAAATTTTGTCAACAGCATTTCGGCATCATAGAGTTTACGTTTTGTGGGATCTTTGAGTGTATTCCATGCTTCATTTATTGCCACAAATTTTCTATCGGATTTAGCATTTAGGTCACCATCAACAATATCAGCAAAATCTTTACTATCTGTTTTGTTATTTTCTTGAACATCATTAACAAAAGCATTGCCGGCTTCTGCTTTCATTGTTGCCATTGCTGTTGCTGTTGCTGTTGTTGTAGAATTTGTATCTTTATGCGCATTAATATCTTGTAGTAATTTATCTGGATGACATTGTAGAATTAATTGTTTGTAATTCTCTTTTAATTCTTCATAGCTTGCGTTCGACTGCGAATTTAAAATTTCATAAAAATTGCGTGTTGACATCTTTACGCTCTGCTTAAGATAAGCTTTTATCTGGAATTTAAATCAAAGTTTTGAAAATTTTAAATAATTAAAGTTAAAATGTACTTACTTACGTTATTGTCAAATATGAAAAATAAATTGAATGTTTGTTAAATGCAATTTTTAGACACTAATTAAATTGAATGTCCTGCTTACGCACGCAGAGACACACCCAAAAAGCATTCTTTAATACGAGCCAAGCCCTTTCATTAATTCATTTCAATGCGATAATATTTTTAGAATGATAACATTTCCTCTCCAAGAGCAAAGACCTTAACTACTTGCAATATTTTGAAATGCAATGTTTTTTTATCAATATTATTGTACATATTGACTGAAATATGTATTTCAATATTTTAGTTTTAATTTAATAAAATAATATAGACACATAACATGCACAATAACAACATTATATCTAAAGATTTCATACAATTTGATAACTTCTTAGATACATTTTTATTTTTCTGCTCCCCCTTTGTTTCTTATAATAATAAACATTTATTATTATGAGATAAATTGAATATTATTTGAAATTACCATCAAGGCGTCAAATATTTAGTGAATAGTAATAGTGAATGTTAATTAATCGCAGTTTTAATGGCTAATTTTAAAAGTCCATGGATGCAAACTTGAAAAGCGTTTTTAATGGAAAATATTTCGATTAAAATTGATTGATAACTGAATGAAATTTTAATGGTTGGAACTAAAGGTTCATAGACCCAAACCCAACTAGTTATTCCAATGGCATTTGTTCGATAGTTTACCAAGCCAATAGCTTAGCTTAAACATCCCGCTCTGTTTGAAGAAATCAAAAAACTATAAAACATTGGAAACTTTTTATAAAAAAGGACTTATATAAAGTTGAATACGAAAGCTATATACATTGTGACCGAAAGGTTTTCGGAGGTTCTCATTTAAAATTCGCGCGCTGTATATTTTTCGATATTTTAAGTTTATGTAGTTTGGCAGACTGTCCCTTAATTACTACCAAAAATGAGCGCGATCTGTCGGACAGTTCGTTTACGGCAGCTGTTGAAACCAGTTCACCTCAGTAGTGCGTTGCGAAAAAAACAATGGAAAAAAATATTGAACAAAGAGTTTGCATCAAATTTTGTTTTTCGAACGAAATTTCGTGTGCAGAATCGTTGCGAATGCTACAAAAGGCTTATGGGGAATCAGTTTTATCGAAAACTCAAGTTTATGAGTGGTACAAAGCCTTTCAGGACTGTCGTACGACCGTCGAAGACATGCCGCGTTCTGGACGACCTTCGACCTCTACCACCGACGAAAACATTGAAAAGGCAAAGGAAATCGTGTTCAAAAATCCTCATGTGAGTGTTAGAGAGATAGCACGAGAGCTAGGCATCGGTCGTGAGATGGCTCGTTTGATTTTGGTGGACAATTTGTGTATGCGACGTGTCAACGCCCGGCTTGTTCCGATTCACCTCAATTTGTTCAACATTATCAACGATTTTAAGGCCAAACATTCAATAAATACCATCGAACAGCCACCGTATTCACCTGATCTTGCACCGTGTGACTTTTTCCTGTTTCCCAACCTCAAATTACCACTCAGAGGAACGCGTTTTGAATCCATAGAAGACGTAAAACAGAATTCGCAGAGGGAACTCAAAGCCATACCGGAAAGCGCCTAATAAAAATGTTTTTATGATGGAAGAAACGTTGGCATTTGTGTATCGCTTCTAAATGGAGCATATTTTGAAGGAGATAAAATAAATATTGATGAAGATTAAGAATTTTTGCGTTTTATTTATTTTATGACCGGAAACTTCGGTCACAAGGTTAAATAGTTTTCATTTTAAAAGTTTACTTTAAAAGTCTTTACAATATTAAAAATAAATAAACTCTAAACGTATAAAACATTATAATCGGTTGTTTTTTAAACGAGTGACCAGACGATACTAAATCAACCAATAAATTTGAATAGAGGGAGCTGTAATTGCTACTTATGATCATAATTATTGCACGAAGCGATTATTCATGAGTCCATATCATCATTTAAAAACATTGAAAACATTACGAAAATAAACTCTTTTCGAAGTCATTAGCAGATATTAAATAGTTTACAGAAATACATAATAAATATTATCTTCGAATCTCAAAAACAAAAATACTAACATTTTTAGTCTACATCGACTGAACTTATATGTATAAATGATTTTTTACCAATTCAATTTTATCTTCATACAATAAGTAAAAAATCTTGAAATCTACTATCTGAATTTCAATTAATTAAAAGGGGATTTAACAAAGAAATTTATTTGAACTTAACTTCTATACAAAAAAAAAAAACTATAAGATAGTAATCCAAACATACTTCGTCTAACAGTCCTAGCTGATTTTGCCCCAATATCAAAATTTTCATTGTATTCATAAATATTGCTTAATATCTTAGGTTAGTAAAACATCTAAAACAAATCATTTGAATCTAATGAATTTATGTAGATCATATATAACAAAGGACATTATGAGAATTATTTGACCATAATCTCTCTTTAAAAAAGAAATCTTTTCATTATGATGACTATTGTTTCATTCACAAATTCTGTTGTAAAATGTAACTTTTGAATTGTTTTTTTTTGCAAAACGTTTAGCTAAATCACCATTCTTATTTTATTTTTTAATTTCTGGTAAATTTACTAAAGCTTATTTATATTAAACATATGTTGAAACAAAGGAAACTCTGATTTCTAGAAAATTTAATACTCGAAATAGTTGTATGTATGTTGTAGTTCACTACTTTTCGAAACCTCTCTGCCAAATATACTAATTTCTATTAAGTAAAATAGTCACTTCCGTCATAACAGACGTTAATTTTATCTTATAACAGAAAATTTTTATAAAAATATTTCCATTTTTTTTTTATTTATCACCGACTTATCACTCATATAATGTTAATTACCACCAAATCACATTATTCACATTATTATTCACATTATAGAACCATTGATGAGCCAGCAGTGTCAAAATAATAGCATAACTTATCTGAAAGTTCTTATTAAGAGAGATATACGTAACTTTGCGGTTACGTTCATCTTATCTTGGAACTAATATGTTCAGTAAAATAAAGTTTACACTGCTCTCAGTTATAGAGAACGTCCATAACGTCTCTTAAAGAAACTGTTCGTAATCATAACTAAAATCATAACTACTAAACTGAACAAATTTTTGTTCAATTAGGTCTAAAGATTAACAAAGTATTTCATATTTTTATGCTTAAAGGATAGTCTTATTTATTTCAAAAAAAAAAAACCTACTAACTGTAAAATTTAGATAAACCAAGTAAGTATATTACCCTCGCATCACTATTGTCAAACAAAAAGACTTACTAACAGTAAAATTTAGATAAAACAGATCAAACATGTAGATCACCTCTCGCATCACTATTGTCAATCAAAAAGACCTACTAACTGTAAAATTTAGATAAAACAGATCAAACATGTGGATCACCCCTGCATCACTACTGCCAACCAAAACTTTGAAATAATTAGAGAAGCCGTTTCGTTATGAGTAGCAAGCTTCTTTCAATAGACAATGAATCTTGCATTTTATTTTAATTAAGACACGCAGGATGGAAAAATTAATTTAAGATCGAATTTTGATCATATATGGAAAATGCGATTAAAAAGCAACACTTTTTATTGAGGACATTTTGGTTTTTTTTATCTGTAAACGACGGAAACCGTTGTCAATGGAGAAAGATGTATAAACCTTAGACTATATTTAAGTAGAGTGTATTTTAGATATATCATACCGCACTCATAGATTCAAACTTTAAAATTAGAAAGATATTTGCATCGGAACTGGAAAGAGAGTTATCTCAATAGCACAAATTCTTCCAATAATCATTTGTATTACTTAAACTGACAAACTATCAACACCACGGAATGCTATTATTTACTATGAAATAAATGAAATATTGTACTTTTTTTAAACTAAGTAAACATTATAGGAATGTATAACTGAGGTGCGCTGACTCTGAGCTTCAAATTTGGCAGGACATGAGTTCGACTCCTGGTACTTGCATTCTCAAAAAAATATTTACGAATATGTTAATTATACTCGAATACTCGAAGCAGCTGTATTGTGAGTCAAAAATTCAATTAATTAATATAATATAAAATGAATTTTTGTTGTTGTA